TCTTGGAGTAAAAATGCTCCATTGCTTGAAAGAAAGTTAACTGAGCTCACTGGGCATTGTGTTTTTAAGGGCAAAATGTAATTTAATGCCTCCCCCTTCTTGAAGTATTTATCAAGGGAAGGTAGTTGCATTTTTGCCTCCTCGTGAGTCCAGAAAGTTTCCGTGTAAGAACTTCAGTGTGAGTAATTCAGTGAGAATCGTAGCCTGTTCTTAAATTGTGAGAAAACAGTGGCATCTGCTTTCTAGTGCTGTATTGTGGTTGGTGATGTGTCCGCCTCCCACTCGGAGAGACCAAGGTGTCCTTGAGCCCGGACAGACCCCAGTGCCTCTCACATCCTGAGCCTTCAGTCAGTGTTTGTTGAATGAACAAACTAGTGGATACTTGGGGAGAAAGTGTTTAGAAGTCTTGACATCTTTTTTTTTTTTTTGAGGTGAGGAGGGTAGTGGGGACCTTAAAGTGTGTACAAAAAACACATATTTTAAAGGGAATCATTTTTCTAGAGAGCAGTTTTTAAAATTTTCTAAATTTTGCGCTTCTCTTGGTCCACTGTTGCTGCAGGGCTGTTTTATTTGTTTATAAACTGGGATTAGCTTTCTGTAGTTCTTGTGATGATAGCTTTTTTGAAACTTGATATCTACACAGAAGATAGGAGAAAACAGCCGTCCCCTGGTTTCATCATAGTATGAAGGAGCTACCCCTCTAAATAGGTTTTTGCCAAGTGTGGGTATTTCTGTTTCTTTTTGTAAACCCATGACATTTTGCTTGGTTCAGCAGTTTTCATCAGGCAGGATCTGGTGACACTGTACCTGACGGGAGGAGAGGACGAAGCCGTCCAGCCTCTGGGAAGTTACTGCTAACACGCTGTAGATTCAGAGAGTAGCGTGGAATGCTTTCTAGTTTTATACGTGTACAAATCCTTTCGTATGTGCTGGACTGAAAGGCATTAACTCAAATTCAATATTTCAGTCAGGCATCCTTTTTTGGTAACTAATAGTTAAAAAAAAAACCAGGAAGCCCCCCCCCCCGACAAAACTCCCCAGTAGAGAACATTTTGAAAAAGACACAAAAATAAAGGGAAGAAAAAAATTCCAAGTAGGTACACTACTTAAATACAACCACTAACTTGACATTTTGAACTTTCAGCCTTTTTTAGGGCTTTTGGTTGGCTTGGTTTTACATAATTGAGATCATACTGAATATACAGTTTTTGTATTCTACTTTCTCATTTAACTTTATAACTTAAATATTTTTCCATGATGTTATCATAAGCTCTTCATAGACATGAGTACAGCCTTCCTTTTATAAATAATGTTGGGATATTTCTTGGCATATTTATTAGTTCCTGTGCTCTGATATCAGAGTGAAGTGAATGCAGCAAATTGCCTTACAGTTTTCCCACCTAATCTTACTCTCCTCTTCCAACATGCGGCAGATAAGTTGTCTTTTTGTTCTTTTCCTTTTTTTCAGCCCGTGGTGGTGTTCATTCCGTGACACACCTCTCATCTTTCTGTTGAATTGCCGGGTAGGGAGGAAGGAATGCTGGCATACGAGACAGCCACATGAGTTCTCGAGTACATAGGATGGGAGATTTAAGGAGGTTGGCTGGTGCTGGATTAGTTCAACGTTGATTTGATTATTATTTTTTTAACCTGTCTCTGTGTCAAAGTGAGAGTTCATGTTCCTGTTAAAACATGAAGTTCGAGTACTGTATTTTTTGTGTTGTCCAAGGAAGACTGAAAACCTGTAGCATGTATGTATTCTTTTGAAATCTTATGAATGTATTAAATGTATTGCTCTTAAGAGACTGTTTGAGCTCATCTATTTTGAGTTAAAAAGGAAAAAAAAAAGCTTTTCTTCAATACATTAAAAGGTGTTGAGTAAAGGAAATAGGGTGTGGTGGTGCGTTTAGCCGGGCTCCTGTCTCTCTTGGAAAGGTGTGAGGCCATGTTTGTTGAAAGGCTTAAGGTAGGGCAGAGTGGGGGTGGGGGTGGGGAGGAGGGTGAAAAACACAATCTAGCTTTATTTTCTGACCCTTATCTTTCCAACCTAGATTTTGTAAAGCTTTGCTTCTTTTAGCTTTATTTTTCTTGTAAAAATGAAATATAACTGTAAAAAAATTTAAGCACTACAGAAAAGTGTTAAGAAGGAAAGCCATTCACATTGGGAATTAAGTTTTTTTTTTCCCCATGAGAATAGAACCAACTTTAAAAGACACTTCCCTATGGTATAGCTCAGTGGTAGAGTGCCTGCCTAGTATGCACGAGGTCCTGGGTTCCATCCCCAGTAACTCCATTAAAAAAATAAGAATAGAAAAGACACCTCCCTGAAGAACATATGCAGACGGCACCTAAGCATATGAAGATGCTCCACATCATATGACATCAGGGAAATGTAAATTAAGACAATAGTGAGACACCAGTATTCACCTTTTAGCGCGGCTCAGTCTCAGCTGGAATGCACCCCACGTTCGACAGCAAGGGGATGCACTCACATAATAGCAATTCTTTAGTGCGCTCGGCACTTTACAGTTTATCCCAAGAATTTGGGGGTCTGTTTAAGCTCCATAGGAATCCTTCAGAGTGGGTGGGGCAGTGCCTAATTTACAAAAGAAAAACTGCAGACTGACTCAAAGAGCTGGGCAGTGGACCCATATCCCCATAGGACCCCAAGGCAAGTGGGAGCTCTTTTCAGTAATATCCATGGCGGCAACCATTTTTCAGATACACTCTCTGTGCAGGGAAGACTCTGTCTAAATTGATTTGATCAATATTTGATGGATCCCTGATACATCAAATCAGTTTATAATTGTATAGTTTGATCTAATCCACTTCTCTCACTCACAACTCTACGCAGTAGGCATGACTACTCCCATGTTAAAGATGTGGCAAGCGAGGCTTGGGAAGTGAAATGAGTTGTCCAGGGTCACCAAGCCTGTTAGTGGCACAGCTGGGACTTGGCCCCAAGGCGTCTTAGTTTGATTTCAGTTTCCTTCTTCTGCAGCCACGCTCCATAGTTGATGTTCACAGCTGCAACGAGATGCTCTAGGTGCTTATCTGTCCTGGATGATGTTGTCTCACTTCTTGGAACCCATTTACTTCTGTGTAAAAAGGGGATAATATTTCTAGTACAGGCTTATGAAAATTACATAAAGTGATTTATGCAAAGCACACTGTGGGTGTAGATAAATGGTAGTTATTGCATGAAAGAGGCGTTTGTAGCTAATGGTCAGACTAATTGGGTTCAAATCCCAGCTCTGCTACTTTGTACTACTTGTATGACTGCAGGCAAGTTATTGGACCTCTCTGTACCTCAGTTACCTCATCTGTAGAGTGGGGACAACAATAAGGTCATTGTGAGGAGTAAGTAAAATAATCCTGAAGTCTGCACAATATAAATGCTCAAGAAATACTAAAGGTTACATTCTCCTCCTACTCTATTCAATAATCCAGTTTGCTGCCCAGGTCCTCTTACCATATTCTGCTTTCCCCCAATAATATTCAACACTTTGTAAGACAATGAATAATGCCACTCCCACTGTCTTTTATGATATAATATTTTTATTCCCAAACATTATTCATCACCTTCTATAGTACTAAGTTATTGACTTATTTAGCATTTTTATTGCTTATTATGTGTCTCCCTCCAGGGCAGGGATTTTGTCCTTTTTTCTTCAGAGGGTCCCCCAGCACCTAGAACAGTGCCTGGCACATAGGAGCTGCTCGATAAATATTAGCCATTATAATCACAGTCTATCCCGACCACCCTGTTTAATAGAGTCCTCCCCGGCTCGCTCTGAACTCCTGATTCCCCTTAAAGAACTTTCCTTTTTCATTTTCACAGTAGCACTTACTGCCTTTCAGCAGTCTCTGTAACTTACTTACTCAATATATTTATTATTTATTGCTGGTCCCTCCCCCTAGCCCCGTCTAGATTGTTAAGTCCCATGAAGATAAGGACTTTTGTAAGTTTTCTCCACTTACACATCTCCCCGCACCTAGAAGAGTGACTGACACATAGTAGTTAAATAATAGGCTATCTGTTGAATGAGTTATAGGTGGCAGAGGGCCAAAAGCCCTGGAAGTGGAGACAGAAGATCTTTTGGGACTGTCGTGGAATTTCCGCATGATCTCTTTTTCTTTCTTTTTCCGTGTGGTCTTAAACGTGTTCCCCCGCCCTTCTTCGCCCTAGTTTCCGCTCACAGCTCTGACCCTCTGGGTTTCGCAGCAGCTGGGTCCAGCCGGCCGGGAGGCGTCGCGCCCCTGGTGTCCGCTGGGGGGCAGTGGCGCGCAGGGC